TTTTTGAGTGATGATGAAGAATTGCTATAAGCCTCTTGAGGAGGAAGGGGCACTGTTTCAGAAGGCTTATCTCCCCCTGGACCACCATGTGGCCATGAATGCCTGGCTCTGTCTCTTTCATCTCTTGTCTCTTCTTACCTGATCTTAGGTGAATGGGTATTAGAGATACAATGGACTCAGAGCTTTGCAAGGTGGGAAGAGCCATCAGAGGTACAAGAACTGGAGTCCACAGCAGAGTTTGCCAGCAGCCAAGCCTAGTGAGGAGATGGCCCTGAGAAATGAACTGCCTGAGCTATTCTAGCAGTGGATTGGCCGGGTAAATAAGACACTACGTTCTGCAAGTAAGAGAGTGACGTGTCCATTGGCTAGGTTGGACCTAGAAGTGAATTTGGTGGGAAGTTCCTTTAAGTTTGAAGCCCCCATTCCCCAGGGACCAAGATGGTAGAGGAGAATATGCTCTGGGTTTTAGAGGTTTTTGTACTCCTTACTGCTAGGGTTTTTTCTCTGAGATTATCTCCTGTTTACATCGTATATATCTTGTGCCTACATAGCTATTTGCCAGATGTCTCCCTTAAAATGTGAGTTCCCTGAGGGCAGGGACCATGTTTTTGCTTTTTTTTTTTTGTATCCCTAGGACTTAGTATAGCATCAGGCACACAGTAGGTGCTTATTGACTAGTTAAATATCCCTACATAAAAGCTAAGTGATTTTAATTGGTTAATAGTGATGCAGAAGAAGTGCAAATCAATTTGATCATCGGGTTGATCAATCAAAATTATATTGGAGCAGTAATCACTGGTTAGATGATATCAAGGAAATCCTAATTGATCAGTTGATATTGGGGAGATGTTAATTCATGACTGATATTGGCAAGGGGGGTGTGGGCATTAGTATAGCTCATATAAGTTCTGCTACTCTCCTAATCTTTACTAAGACTAGAAGATTGGGTTCCTTGAGAAAGAAAAGTAATTCTCCCTCAGGGTTCTACTGACAACTCTCAGGAATCTGGTACGTCTTTTTCTAACACCATAGCTCACCAGGCCTTATCTGGTATATTCTCCCTAACGTCAATCATTCATTCACCTAAAATCAAGAAAGAAGAAACACAACTAAGATAAAAAAAAAAAACACAGCAGTGATCCATACAGGCTATATGGTAGCCTGGGTAAGAAGACAAGGCAGGTGAAGCTGCTCTGGAACTCACTACCTGGAGGCTTACAGAAGTTTGTCTTCCACATTTAAAAGCCACCTGGGAAGACAAGAGAATTTTGCTTATTCATGCCTTTTATAAGTACACTGGGTTCCAACTCACCAGCCACTTAAAAGGCTTTCCTTCCCCACATAGTAAGTGAACAAGAAATAGTCAATATTACCTGTGCATCCTCTGAATTAAGAGCAGGGTCCATCTGTTATACATCATCAAACATTTCCAGAAGTAAACGCAGAAGCCTCCATTTGGATACTCACTAGATAGAGAATACTAAGTGTGCTCCAAGGCCTGGGCCCCTATTGTAATACATTCACATAGAACTTTAAGTATTTTGCATACATTATCTCATTTGACAGTTCTATATTACAATCATTGTTATTAGGTTGTAAGGACAGGAGAAGAAAAGGTAAAAACAAAACAGGAGCTGGTTTAAACTTCAAAAGTGCCATTTCCCCCACAATTTCTGGCCAAACCAGAAGGGTAAGGGGGTAAAGGTAAGCTTGACACACAAGCCTACACACATCTGTGTATACTGGGTATCCCTGGGCATATCGTGACTATGTTGGCTGTATTTCAGCAAGGCTGGAGGAGACAGGCTGGAGCTCAAACAACCTAGAGTCAGAGGTAGCCTCTTTCCTCCCTAACTCCCCAAATTCCCTGGTGCTCTGAGGCCCTTAGTTTTCCTGTAGAGGTCAAGGCTCATTTCTTATGATCCCTCTGGTAGACCCTAGAGGGCAGCATTCAATGGCTTTTCAAAAACATCAGCAGTTACTTAACTAATTCAGTGTACAAAGTGCCTATATAACACTTGGCACACTTGATAAATGTATACTATAATTGTTATTAATTAGCAATTAATATAATTATAGTAGTTGGAATAAAAATGGATTTCTAGTAAAAAAAACCAAATATCAGCCATTACAGCTTATACATTGCTAAGGGCTATCAGATATTTAATAGAGCTGATTTAGCTCTCCCTAAAATGCATTGAAATTGATTACGAATCTGCTGGCAGCAAACACCCCCTCATCATGTGCTCCAGGAAGCATATGAGGTGCATTCCAAGAGTTGGGCCTGGCTCTGAAGTTTCTCCCAAATACCTGCCTGAGCCCATGCAGACATGAAGAATAGCAACTAGGTGTAGTGAATTACCACAGGGGCAAATTTTGTGCCTCTTAGTGGGCCATGGTTTCCTCCCATTGTGAGGTCATATTTTTGCCCAAGTCAAAGGAGTACAGATTCAGAGCTGGAAGAGCCACCAGAGCCCCTCTAGTTTAACCCCTTCATTTTACAGATGAGGGAACTGAGTCCCAGAGAGGTGAAGTACCCTAAGATAAGTGGCAGAGCTAAGATCTGAACCTAGGTCCACTGACTATACTGTTCTACTAGAGTCTGACCTGACTCAGTTCTCTGAAGTTAGGTATCATGTGTTTTTCTTAAACTTTCTGAACATAATAGATACTTAATTAATAACTATTGACTTGAATGGACTCTACCAGTTCCAGAGCAAAAGAAATGATAGGCATTAACTTCTCAGAGGGCACTGTGTCCCCAGGACTAATTGTCCTGGTACTGATCTGATCTGACTCTGACTCCTGTTGCAGACACATCCCTGCTGGTATTTTCAAGAAGAGCTATTTGGAATAGGCTCCAGGTTGGAATATCAGAATTCTTGAAAGCTCTGGAATGAAGCAAGTACCTTGACGGTAGTCTATCCCTAGCACTTAGCAAAGTGCCTGGCACCTGGTAAAGCACTTAATATATACTTGTTTACTTAACAGACACCATCAGGACATACCTCTGGGCCCAAGTCCAGAGACAAGATTAAGATCCTGTCTTTCTATCTCTTAGACTCAAATGCTCATAGGGGGAAGACTGTTTGTATATTGAGGAACTTCTTTTCCCTCCTTCCCCAATATCAGCATGGAATAAGTCCCAGAACCACAGAATAAATAGAACAAATCATAAAAGCCTGTTTTAAGAAACAAGAGAAAAGACTGAGGGGGTTGTTGAAATGTAACTGGTCATGGGATCTACTTCCTGCCTCGTTCTTATACAAGGGGTGAATCCTTATTTCAAATGCAGCCACATGGAGATTCCCAGGGTCTAAGTCACCAGCCAGCTGGGAAGGGAACACTAGCCATGCCTTGTGATACATGAGGAGCACCTGCTTAACTATTACGACATCTGGAGTTTCCCTGGACACTTTCCAGCCTCTCTGGGCCAAATATCGGTCGTAGTTTGTCATTACATCACCCTGACCACCGGAGCTCAAGATTTCTTGGCAATCCTGGTGAAAGCTAGGTCTGGGCACATGATTTCATGCAACCTTGCCGGAGCTCGGCTATTTTACTTATTCATTTATAATGCTTCCTATTGTCATCTCTAATTTCAGTAACTTAATCACTTGGCTCTAACTTTCGGTATAGGCAGTAAGATGATCTTTCCAGTTATTGCTAAGAGTACCTTACTACTTATGAATTTTTTCTTTTAAACAAACTCATAGTCATAGGTAACATGAAAGTCCAATGTAGCCCTAGAAAAGAGACCCACCCATAAGATGGCCAATATGGGACTTCATGAAGTCAAATATTTAGGACCAGTAAACCTAATGAAAATTTTCCAAATTTGATGGTTGCCATCTATGTCATTATGGAAGTCAATGATAAAAAGTCAAGAATCCCAAGGATGAAGACAGATTCCTGAGGCATTAATAAGAGATCTTCCAAGAGGATATGGGCCCATTAATGATGACTCAACACCCCTCTTGTCCTTCAGCATTTTCTCCTCTCTGTAGAGCCAATGGACTTCAGCTGCTTGATTAGAATAGAGATGTTAGAGGAAAAGTCATGAGTTGTGGCTGCTAAAAGGGAGGAGGCCAAAGGCTTAGAGAGACTGAGGGGATATGAGCTAACTCTTGGCCACTGGAAACTCTGAATGAAGGGCTCAGGGTGGAAGAGGGGCAGTAGCCTCTCCTTGCCGCAGCCTATTGGTGAGTCCTACCTCTGACTTGGTCACAGACAATGAGCCATGGCAAGATGGTCATGGTAAGAAGCCATCAGCAGGCTCTGCTGGTGACAGGATACCGAACGGGGGGAAATACATGTAAACCCTTCAGAAATCATTACAAAGAAAAGGATCACTTGTTCTGGGAGGAGTTGATGGGTATTTCATTTCATTCATTTAACAAACTCTTAAGTGCTACTAGGTGGTGCAATGGATAGAGCACTAGGCCTGGAGTCAGGAAGACCTCAACTCAAATTCAACCTTAGGCACTTATTAGCTGACCCTGGATGAGTCGATTAACCTCTTTTTGCCTCAGATTCCTCATCTGTAAAATGGGCATAATAATAGCACCTACATTGCAGGGTTATTGTAAGGATCAAATGAGATAATAATTGTAAAGCATTTAGCCCAGTGCCTGGCATGTAGTAAGTGCTATATAAATATTAGATATTATTACAAACATATTCTACCTTGGTATTGGAGACTACAAAAATAAATAAGTCCTAGTTGTTTCCCCTAGAGAGCTTAAAATCTGTCATCCTTGTCCACATACTTCAATTGTATGATTTACATTTTCTGTCTGTCCCCTTCCCCTTTAACAGTGAAACAGTTTGATCGGACCTGAAAAAGAAAAAAAACCACAACCGTATGTTTCCAAGAGGCCACTGGTTTAGGATGAATGGATAAATCAGTGAATGAAAAAGAAGTGTATTAAATGCTTGCTATGTGTAAAACACTAGAAATACAAATAGAAAATTGAGAGTCCTACTCTCTAGAAACTCACATTTTAGTAGGGGGAGACAACGCATATGGATGAAATCAGGTTCAGCTGGATATGAGGCAATTCTGGGAAAAATATTGTCTTGCCTTGGGTTAATTTCCTCATTTTCAATCTTGAAGAGAGACTAAATCAAAAATCATAGTAAATGGGCATGTAGTTTAATAGCAGCTTCAAGTAACATATATCTACACACACACACACACACACACACACACCACACACACACACACACACACACACCCTTTACTGGTCAGAGGAGAAATGGGAAGTGAGGTAAACAAGGTCAGGGGTACTGGATTCCTTAGGCAACATTCTAGAGAAAGGGGGGCAGGAAAGCAAAGAGAGCTAGAGACAAAACTCTGAGTGATTTACCAACCATTCGTCTGCTGTTTTGATGTCTAGGCCCATGTCTCATCTGTTCCTCTGGCTAGTAGTCCTAGTCCTTCTGTATCTCCAGTGTTTAGTCAGTACCTGAGTTCCAGTCTCCTCACCTCTGTTAATGGTCTACAGGCGAGCATCAGACCAAATATTACTCTCCTCTCTGTTCCTGTGTCTGCGCAAGTGAGGGGAGCTTGGCCAACACAGATTCTTGCAGCAGGGCTCCTTCCTTCTCTGTCGGTCAGCATGCCTGGCTTCTCAGAAAGTGGAAGGACTTGCTGCTTTTCTGGTGTGGCCTTTGGTCCTCCTGGTACGAGCTGACATATCTGGAGGAGGGGTTACATTTCTTTAAATGGAAACCTCCCTTTGAAGTTTCTGATTAGGCAAAATAATGACTGTCAGGGCTAAGCCCCTGAGGAATGAATATTTTTTTCCTATTGCAGAGAAACCCTATAGTGTTTCTACACTGTACTGGCAACAGCACTAGATTTAGAGACAGGATTTGATTTCTAATTCTGGTTATTAAACTTTTACCTTGTGAACTTTCACCTCTTTGCCTTGTTTACATTTCTAGGAAGCTCAAATATGAACCTCCTTCTTTTGATATTTCTCACAATCTACAGGCTGGGAGGAGGTGTGGGGGTGATGATGAATGGAACAATTTATTTTACTCCACCCAATAAATTGTGTGTATCATGATAACAAATACAGAGGGTCATGTATGAAAGACCCAGAAATTGGGATGAGGGTTTGAGAACATAGAAATGAAGTAGCATTGCAGTAATTTTGGAATGTATGCTGTATCATACCCTAGAATTCAGAACCTGGGCCAATGGGGGCTTCCTTCTTGCCTAATCTTTTCAAGTTAAGGTTTTTCCCAAGTCTGTTTGACTGGAGCAACACCTGTTTAGTGTTATGGCTAGGTAAGAAATGAGGCAAAGAATAGCCTCTTTTACCTAGTTTAAAAAAAATAATAGGGGCGCTAGGTGGTGCAGTGGATAGAGCACTGGCCCTGAAGTCAGGAGGACCTGAGTTCAAGGCTGGCCTCAGACCAAACTCTTGACACTTACTAGCTGTTTGACCCTGGGCAAATCACTTAACCCCAATTGCCATAACGATGATAATAATAATAATAATAATAATAATCTGGGAGGAGAAGAACTCAGGGTTTCTGGCCAACACAGAAACAATTGCTATTTAATTCACTCTGAACATCAAGGGCCCAAACAATGATCAAGTGAGGCTTGGGCGGGGCATATTGTTGGCCAATCAATGAGAGTCACAGTGATTTGGATTGAAGGCATGGTTCTTAAGAAAGAAGTCTAGCCCATAAGCTCCAAGATATCTTACAAGGTTTCAGTGATCAAAATTCATATTCCTTTGGGCAGAGCACCCGAAGTGAGGGTATGATTCCCTACACGGACAGAGGAAAGGGGGGTGGGAGAGGAGGGAGAGAGGGAGGGTGAGAATGAAGGAAGGAAAGAAGTAAGGAAGGAAGGAATTGTGTGGCCCAACTGGAACTGGCTAGTTGGGTCCCCAGTGGGGCAACTACTACTACTCACACGTTGTTAAAAAGGCCAAGGTCTCCTACTGCATTCATCTCTAGTTGTCCTGATCTGTATCTTGCCACTGGACCCAGAAAGCTCCGGAGGAGAAAGTGAGGCAGGTCACCTTGCACACCTACCTTACTTAAATCCAATTCACTTGCAAGTCATGACATCCTCTTCCTGATGTCATGGTCCTCTTTGAGAAGGAAGGATAAACAACAACAGTCAGTTCAGGGCAGAGGCCTGATGGGTTAGAACAATTCAGAGATTTCCTACTCCACTAGTGAATTAATGTGTGTGATACCTTATAGACTCATAGAAAGTGAAATAAGCCTGATGCAAACTCTTGTTGCTCTGGTAATGTCTCAAGTGTCATGTTTGAGAGGGAATATCTTCCAAAGTCATACCAAGCCAGCTGTATGCTAACATCACTTCTATTTTGGGCAGACACTTCAAATGGACAGTAAGTTGGGCCTAGAATTGAATAGGAAGGCCAGGATGGATTACCATTAGGAACTTACAAAATTTCCTAATGTTTCTTTTTGAAGTAAAGGCCTGTGTTTTCTAATATCGATCGATATTCTTCTGATTAATGTTCTCATGTGGTTGTAATCTATTAGAATTGGAGTTTACCTCAAAGACCTCTGATTGGTATTGAAAACCATCATAATTTGGTTCCAGCTTGTTTTCCTTTCTTGTTGTACACGATTGTAACTTTCCAATGATTCTCTCTCCTCAGTAGAATACTCTTTTATAACAGAAAAGTACAGTCCAGCAAAAATGGCCATTTATGAAAGTGTAAGTTTCATTATGAACCTATTCTCTACTACCTCTGGGCTAAGTGGTGGAAACATGATTCTCCATCAAGTTCTGTAAAGTCATAATTTGTTACTTTATTGATATGAGTTTTTATGTCTGGTTCTGCTTACATTACCCTGCATCAATTCTTATATGTATAAAAGGTCACGCTCAGATCACCTAGCATGGAGGAACCCTCATGTCCCCTACCCCAGGCTGTGTCTTTAAAACTGGCCATACTGGGACAATCTCTTTTCTGGACTTGCTCTTTCCTTTAAGTTTTACTTTGGCTCCAAGAAATGGGTCTGGGGTCTTTGCTCTATGTTGTTTGTCCTTCTGTTTCAGGTGCTGGTAGTAATCCCCACTAGACCCAGGAATTAGAACCATCATAGCCTTGTAGCCAGAATTACTGGTAGGATGTTAGAGCCAGCCAGCTCAGCAAGGAGACCTGGAGGAACCAGATTGCCCGGGACTTAAGCCCCAGACATGTCTCTTTTCTGGGTGATAGCTAATAATAGCTAGCATTTATTAAACAGCTATTATATGCCAGGTACTGGGCTAAGCACTTTACAAATATCATCTCATCTGAGCCTCACAACCACTCTAGGAGGTAGGTGCTATTACTATCCTCATTTTACAGAGGGGGAAACTGAGGCCTACAGAGGTGATCTGACCTGTTCTTTGCTTTCAGTCCTGTCCTGCTCTTCTTGACCCATTTGAGGTTTTCTTGGCAAAGATATTGGAATTGTTTGCCATTTCCTTCTGCTCATTTGACAGATGGGGAAGTTGAGGCAAATAGGGTTAAGTGACTTGTCCAGAGGGCTGCCCTCAAACTCTACACTGGGCCAAGAAGGGCGCAGACGACCGCCCTGGACCCAGCTCACAACCCCAGGAGACCTAGCAAAGTGCACTGCATCCCAGAGACAGACCTCTTTCTCTTCCCCGCCCTCCGGAGACTGCTCATTCTCCTCCTAGTAATTTCTGGAGTCTGCGCAGTATGTCCAGCACAGGGCACGAGGATACTACACTACTCACCTGGGACAGCTCTGAGCGTCCCCCGCCCCCATTACTACGCCAGCACCTGGCGAGCGTTCCAAGCTTAGCGCCCCCCCCCCGCCCCCCATGGCGCCTGCGCACCAGGGGTTGGCCCGGAGCTGGGGGAGGGGCGAGCTCTAGTTCCAGGCTCCGCCTCCCCTCGCTTTCGCTTTCACTTTCCCAACTGCTGAGGGATCTACTGCTTGGTCTGGGGGTCAGATGGAAAATGAAAGGGGGAGGCTTTCTGCTTTTCCCCGACCGCTGGAAGCCGGACTTGAATGCCCGCAGCTGGCCGAGCTTCGTGAGGTAGCCAAGTAAGTACTTTCATCCGAGGTGGGAGGTCGAGGACGGGGAGGGGTCTTGGAAAGGGAGAGGGAGGAGAGTTTCTGGGGCGGGGAGGCTGGGGGAGGGAGTTGAGGGGAGACCGGTCTTTGGGGGAGGGAGCTTCTGGAGGAGAGGGCAAGGAATTGGGATATGAAGGGCCCTGGACAAAAGAGGCTGTGCGGGGGGAACCCCCTCCCCCTGGGGTGTGTGCCTGAGGGCCCGGAGCTCAGGTAGGGTTACGAATGTGTGCGATTTAATTAGGCCAACGTTGTGTGCGGAGCGCCTGGTCCGGCCTCCGCGCTTGGCTGCCGCAGGCTGCAGCCTTGACCTAGTCCTGCGGCCCCTCTCCCTCTGCCCTGGCGGGTGCACTAACCCTTGGAGAGAAACGGATTTGCTTTAGTATCTGTGACCATAAGTGGGGGGGGGGGAAGTGCCGTTTTCATTTGGTAACCTGATTGTGCTAAATTTTAAAATGACAGTTTGTTCTCCACCCCACCCCATTCCTGGGTTTACCGAACCTAAAATACACAGAAGAGAATTCTGTGGTTTTTTTTGTTTTTTGTTTTTTTTTGCTGTCAATGGAATGGACTTTTTCATTCCTGATTTTTTGACATTCCTTTTCCGGCGTCTGCCATCACTAACAACGTGTGCTTCTAACACTTTCTGCCTTTTGATAGTAAAAGGATGAAGGAACTGAGGCTAGAATCAGGGTTTTCCATACCCAGTTTTTCTCCCCCTTTTAATTCCTCGAGAACGGGTGCGGATAATGAAACTTGTAATAACCTTTGTTCGGGTATCATTTGGTGTGATACTACCTTACCACCTTGGGATAGTACATTTCTATGATTCCAATATAGGAGTGGATTTCTTAGATCTTTACTGCACCAGAATATAAAAGAAAAAAGGGAAAGGGAGCTTGACGTAGTTTTCTGTTAAAGGACCCCCTCACCCCCTTTGGAAAAAAAAAGGAATTTCTTCATTGTTTAGAACTAACTGCTCGCTGACGATATTCCAGCCATATGTGGACACTGGGAGGTGATGGATGTGGGAAGAATGTACTGTGCTTTTTCAACCAAACGTGTTTCTAGACAACCTATTGATATTAAAGACCTCTGTCTCTCACACACACAATCTTCCTTCTGTTGATTCCCTGGAATTGCCGTTGTTGGGTTTCTTCATTTATAATAACTCTTTGCCAAGATCATTAGGTTCTTTACCATGGATCTTAAAAAATACTTCTGCAACTAAGATGTACTTTTTTTTGTTTTGATGAGGCAATTGGGGTTAAGTGATTAGCCCAGGATCACACAGCTAGCAACTGTTAAGTGTCCCAGGCCGGTTTTGAACTCAGGTCCTCCTAACTCCTAAGATGTACTCTTAAAGCTTTGGTGTGTATAGCATTTAAAATTAATTTAATTGTAAAAAACCTTGCAGTTCAGTAATGAAGTATTTGAGTGCATGGCATGTTGCGTTTCTTTCATACATGCCTGTCAACCTGATTTTAGCTGCCTGACCCCCTTGTCTTGTATGGTTTTCCCCTTCACCTCCCCCCTTGTGGCAGCCCTGGTTTTCTTCAGTGTTCCACTCAACTGCCATTTTCTGTACCTGGTCTCCCCCTCAGGGGAGGGGAATCTTCGGGCTAGAGGCCACATGTGGTCCTCTAGGTCCTCAAGTGCTGCCCTTAACAAATCTTGTTCTGTGAAGTTTGGATTCAGTCAAAGGGCTGCACTTGAGGACCTAGAGGGCCACATGTGGCCTTGAGGCTGCAGGTTCCCCACTCCTGCTAGATACTAATATCTTCTCTCCTAAGGTTACTCTTGTATGTGTTTTGTATATGTACATGTTGTCTCGTCTGTGAGAAGGTTAAGTTCCTTAAAGGCAAGAACTGTTTCATTTTTGTCTTTGCATCCCCAATGCCTGGCACATAACAGTTGTTTAATAAGTGTTTATTTGCTGATTGTATAACTGAGAGGAGGTAGTTGAAGTAAAAGCTGAGTCTCTCTCTTTCTATATATACTTTTAAAAAGTCCCATCCCCTCATCTGCTTCAGCCTATAGCTAGCCTCCATTATTCTCCCTCTTCTCACCTCTGGCCAATTTTCAGTCTCTCCCACTCCACTGGTTTCTTCCCTAATGCCTAAACACACATTTAACCATTTAGGTCCTCCTCAACAATCTGCTGCATTTGGCACTGCTGACCATCCTCCTGCTGAATACTGTGTCAGCAAGCATTTATTAAGCCCTTACTATGAGCCAGGCACTATACTAAGTGTTGGGAATACAAATCCAAGCAAAAAGACAGTCTCTGCTCCCAAGAAACTTATATTCTAATGGGGAAAAGACCACACATAAGAGGAAGCTGAAAAGGGCGGGGCAGGAGGGAAGGAATTGAAGGTACCTGGACCTGGGGTAGAGAAAGTCCAGAGAGTCAGGAATAGAGCCTGGAAAAGACTGAAGACATAGTGGACCTGGGCACCCTCCTTCAAAGGAAGGTTCTGGGAGGAATTGTCCAGTCATGGGGAGTGGCCTCGGGGTGGGAGTGGAGGAGTATCCTCTTGTGTGAATTCCAGGGCTGGAGTGAGCTTCTGGATGTAGAGGTGTCTGGGGCATGGTAAAGTCCAGAAGAGTCTAGACTAGATTCTGGAGAGGAAGGGACACTCCTTTCTGGGTTTTCCAGTCACTCCTCTTTCTTTGTTCTCCTACCTGTCTGTTTCATATCTGACACCCTAAGTGTTGGTGTTCCCCGAAGCCAGGGGTGGGGAGCCTGCCGAGGCCATATATGACCCTCTAGGTTTTCAAGTGGGGCCCTTTGACTGAATCCAAACTTCACCGAACAGATCCCCTTAATAAAAGGTTTTGTTGGACTCAGTCAGAAGGCCGAACTAGAGGACCTAGAAGGCCACTTGTGGCCTCACATCTGAAAGTTCCCCACCCCTGCCCTAGGCTGTGTCTTGGGCTCTTTTTTTTTCCCCCCTCTATACTTCAACTTTAATGAATTTAATTATCATCTCTAAGCAGATGATTCACAAATCTTTTGTTTCCAGCCTCAGGAACTCCACTGAACTTCAGTCTCAGTACCAATTTCTTCTTGGACATTTCAGATTGGATGTATCAGAGGCATTCCAAACTTATCTAAAACAGAGCTCATAATCTTTGCTTCTAAACCCATCCTTCCTCCAAACTCCCCTATTTCTATGAAAGGTACTACTACTCTTCCAGAATCCGAAGCTTGAAATCTCAGTGTCTTGCTCTCCCTTACCACATATCTAATGAGCTTCCAAATCTTGCTTTTTCTACTCCTATAACATCTCTCACTTCCAGGTCCTTTCTGCTCATGCAGCCAGCCACCTGCTTTTTGCCTAGATAACTGTAATGGCCGTTCCTGTCCATCCTCTACATTGTTGCCTGCCAAAGTGATTTTCCTAAGTGCACATCTGACCATGTCACTCCCCTGATAAGCCCCAGTGATTCTCTGTTACTTATAGGATAAAACATGCATTCCACTGTTTAGTTTTTAAAGCTCTTCTCAATCTGGCCACATCCTATCTTTCTAGGCCCATTTAATATTAATTACCTCCTGACCTGTGATTCAGCCAAACTGGCCTTCTCTCTCTGTTCCTCAGTTATAACATTTCATCTCAGGTCTCTTTGCTTTTGTATTGGTTGTCCATGTGTCTGAAGTATATTTCCTTCTTTCCTTTAAATCATGGAGTCCCTGTAGTCCTTCTTGGTTCAACTCAAACAGCAGCCTCATGAAGCCTTTCCTGATCCTGCCTGCTGCTAGTGCCTCCTTCCCAAACTGCCTAATATTTATTGCTTTTGTATTTATTCTGCATACCTTCATCTATTTTGTTGTCTTCCCTTAGAATGCAAGCTCCTTGATAGTAGACTGTTCCATTTATTGTGTTTGTATCCCCAGTACAGGGTCTGGCACATAGAAAATACTTGATAAGTAAATGTTTGTTGATTAATTAGGATCATTCACTTTGTGTTCATTATATGGTTCTCTCTATGTCCCCCACTTCCCTACCCCCTGTTTTGCAATCTCCTCTATTTTTATGGAATAGGAACCACTGAGTCAATGATGCATCAAAGGGTGGAGAATAGAGAAAAGAGAACTCTAAAATATGAACCTTTCTGAGAAAGCAATCGTAACATTTTTGGTTGTGGTGAGGACCTGTGATTTCATCAGTGTTGGGAACTCTTCCCAGTGCAGAGTTGCAATTGTTGTGCAGTTTGCTTTAGAGAATTGTCTGGAGGCATTAAGTAACCTTTCCAGGTCTTGACAAGGGGGAAGTAATTATATAACTTGCCCAGGGTTTTGAAGGTGCTAGTAGTGCCAGAGGTGAGACATGAACTAGGTTTCCCTGACTGAGGCCAACTCTGTTCTCAATGCCAATCTACCTTACCATAGTAAGATTATTAAATTAAAAATTGTCTGGGAGTAGACCTAGTCATAACAGAATGAATCACGGTTAGTATACTTGTACCTAGCCTTCAGGTAGCCACTGGGACAGCACCTTGTGCTAACTGCTTTTTTTTTTTCTTCACCTTTAGTTGTTTTTACCTGCAGATGGCACCATTTTCTAGATTTACTTGCTCCTCCAAGGCAAGAAATGGTGCCCATAATCTTTTTAAGGGTGATTGTTGTTTCCATGTAATTTGAGAATTAGATCTGAAGTTTTCTTCCAATTATTTTAGTGTAGGAGTTCATGTAAATCAAGGATGTCCATATTTTGAGCGCTTAATTTGGTTTTTGAGCTTTTCTTCATGATACAGACAAAACCAAAAAAATGTTACAAAGTAGGATGATGCTTTTACATGTCAGTTTCCCCTTCTTTTCTCCATCTTAGGCCTTTGATTTGGTCACCATTGAGAGTATTCTTTGTCAAAGGATATGAATAGGCAGTTTTCTGATAAGGAAAAAAACCCCAATTTATAGTCATGTGAAAAAATGCTCTAAATCATTATTGATTAGAGAAATGCAAATT